TTTCGCAAAATCAATTCAAATTTTTTTAAGGCTAATAAGAGGAGCTTTATGAACATGTAACGGCAAACGATGGATAATAAATTGCGTTGAAAAGAAGCGAGGATAAATGTCGAATTACATTGAGCAAGCAAGAAGTCGAAATTAGGAAGACGCTGGAACGTGTCGTATCCCGTCTAAAACCCTGACGGATATGTGCTTCAGCTATGCTAGTGATGAACTTCTAGATCTCTTACTCAAAACTTAGGGTCGTAAGGTGGTATACGGTATCTAAGAATGGCAAAACCCATTACAGTGCAGTTGTCGAAACTGAATGTGAATTGTTCTCTGTGGTGCTGGCGCAGGGACAATTGTACGTCGGCTAGAAGAAGTGCCAAGTTTACGACGATTTAGGGGTGGTGGTGACAAGTGCAGTGCGAACTGCAAAAAATTTTTATGTGCCGATAGGAATGCAAATGCTGCAGTTTCATCAAAGGTCAGTAAAGTGTACAGAATAAAAGATAGCAAATAACTCCATAAGGGAAGACTAGTTTACACCGTAACAAACAGACGAATGTGAAAGAAACTCACAGATCATGACGTAGAAATAGACAAATATGTGACAAACGAAAGGGCAGACATAAACAATGGCAAACGTAATAATTTTATGCATGTTAGTTATAGATGTTAGTTTACAATAAGAGCCGATAGCTTGTGCTGCTAGTGCTCAATGTCTTTTTTTTTTTTAGTCTAAAAATATATTTCATTAATCTAAAATTATGATAATAAAAATAATAATAATAATAGTTTACAGTAATAAGTTTTTTATTATTACTGTTTACTGAGGTAAGCGGAGCAGGAAAGCTCAAGTAAGACCACTAACTTACGACATTACTACAAAAATCTTACAACCTAAACGCAATATTTAATAAAACCGTAAAAATTGAAAAATTCTAAATTTTTATGATCCTGGCCGGCTTGATGGCGGCGGCTGAATTGCTAAAAAGTCTTCAAATTTTCAAGGACAGCAAAAGTTTAACACAAGACTACAATACATTTCTTACTTATAAGTATTTGCCCCCAGAATAAACTAACTGAAATAAGCTCATCTTATTCAGTTTTTAATTAACACGATTTTAAGTGCAAAAAGCTATTGCTTGGAATAGTAAAGCTTTTCGAGCTTTTCCGCTAAGTGCTCCAAAAAAACTACTTGCACCAAATAAATTCTTGCAGGGGCATTATCACCTAATGATTTTGATCTGTTCCAATTCACTAAAATACATGCTTAAAAAGTATTTATGTTCTTTCATTCGAAAGCATTTCCAAAAAAAATAAATACGAGGCTGAAGTTGATTCGAGCGAGTGCGACTGTGCCTCTGCTAAGAAATTAAAAAACTTAGGGTGAAGTTTTTCAAACTAATCACCTCGCAATTCGTAAAGCATAAAACAAACGATTCCGTCTTTGGCAGACGCAGCGAAAGCGTTACTTTGGAACATCAAATATTCAAGAAATTGGAAAGGTCTCGTGGTGAAAGTTAATAAAAAATGTATAATAATAAAAACACAAATATTGTTCTCTTCTCTTCAAAATTAAGTCTTCTTTTGAGAATTATGCGCTGATCACTGAATTTAGTTTTAGTTTCGCGTAGGTTTTATTTATAATTCTCAAAAAGTTTTCTTTTTAATTATTTACAAAAACTTCTATTTCCACCTTCTGGTCTTTTGTGTGCGAACATATCGAGAGCCTTCTGCAAATATTCTGCTTGTATGTACTCTTTTATAAGCAAATTATCTATACTTCATTTCACAGTCGCATTTTCGTGTTTATTCCTTTTCCTGCCAATTGCATAAGGCTACATTACGTCAGCATATAAAGCATCATGATTTTTTATTTAGTTTTACCATTCTAAAAATTTCGCTTTCTAGAAAATCGGTTAGTTTTCGTGCACACTAATTTTATCAAATGTGTGATTTTCGTAACAAATTTCAAAACTTTTGAGTCGTTTTTCTCGAAACGCGATTTTTTAATATACTACCTTGAATTGGAAAAGGTTTGTAATTTTTTATGTTTAACTATTAGTAACCTGTATATAAACAAACAAACAAACAAAGTTACGACACTTAAATGCAACCGTTAGCAAAATGATAATTCAATCTACTAATGAATATACAATATTTTAAATTATATCCTACTCAAAAGATCTTTGCTGAAACGAATAAAGCTGATCGTGGATATTTTTATGTAATGAAAATCCTATAGATACTATAAAGCTTACTCATAGAGAACTTTTGAACAATGGCATGCAATCCGTCGGCGACATATATCTGATTTTCAAGCATTTAATGAAGAAAAATGGAACATCGAACTTAGTTCACTAACTAAAATTTGCAGGTGCGAAAGAGAGGTAATCATCCGTTGGTTGTCTACAAATCAGAATTAAGGAGGCCAGGTTGCTTTTTGCCGACGAAATCATGCCGATGAAATGATTGCTATAATTTTTATAGATAAGACGGTAAACTGGCCATTAAACAGGCAGCGTCACATCAACATCGCTGTTCACTGTGATGAAAGCACAACAAAGCTACCGCTTAAACAATTCCTATAATTGAGCGAATGTCATTTCCAAAGTTAACGGCTTGATAAATAAAACCAAGGCAAACATATGTGATTTTATAATTCTTCATTTTTTATTGGTACAAAACTATATAAATTTTTTCAACTTTAATATACGTTTTACAAACAGTTATTTCCCTAAAATGAGAAACTTCTCCATAAATATTTTAAAAATTAACAGAAGAAATGTAACAAATTCGTACCTGGATAAGAAGATTGGCGACAATTATTTATTAATAAAAAAAGTTGAGAAAACAAAAATTGTAAAGTTTAGCAGACGATACGTAAAAATGTACAACGTACCTATATAAATATTAAAATTAAAATTTATTGTTGGTAACATTGAAAGGGAAACAAATGTTTTGTTTTAACCTAAACCTGACTCACTAATTTGTTATATATACAAGGCACGATATTATGTTGAAGTATTGTAAAAATTATTGTTTTATTAATTAACAATAAATGCTTATGACTTTTGTAATAATTAAATATTTATGTTTTTAAGTTTTTTTATTATTCACAAAAACATAGTATAAAACAAAATAACATAGGATATTATATTAAATGTGATTAGTGATAAGGAATGTAATTTAAAACAAATAAAAAATTTATTTAATGCTTCTGCTTGAACGGAAACGTTTTATGAAACTGTTCAATAAGCGATTGCTTAAACGTGACGAAAATTGATGACTGCTGACTCTTAAGGAAGGCGAGTTGAGATGTTTACTGTTTTTTTTTTTATTTTTATTTTTTTTTTTTTTTTTATATATTTAAAATTTTGTTTGCGTTAATGAATGTTGAAGAATTTTCAAACGACTGTAAAAAATTATAAAAAAAATATTTTTTAAATGAATTACATGTATACAAATATATATATAAAATATAAAAGAAAATTCGAACCAAGCTTTATCCAAAAGAAGCTTTCTAAAAAATAAAACAACGAAAGCAGAAAAATTTTTTAAAGATTTTATACCAAAATTTATTTTTTTTTCGATTTTTTTGTAAAAAAAATTAAATATTAAAAAAAAAAAAATAATTAAGCTAATATAAAAACAAATTATTATACTTTTTCTGTATTATGAAAATATAATAAATTCCAATTATTAAAAAAAACAAAAAGTTGAATACATTTGTTTTTAACTAACAAGATTCAAAATTATTGTTTTATTCTTTTAAAGTAAAACAGCAAAATATACGTTTTTATTAAAACTTTCAATATAAAGTTAGCAAAATTTATAATTCCTCTCTGCATTGCTTAAATTTTTGTTAATATAAAACAAGAAATAAAACTGTATTCTTCTTGCGGCAAATTATGCATACCCACCACCTTAATCGCTATCTTCCTATATAATTTTTTCGTAAATGTTTCTTCTAAATAATGGACTGAAATTGAAAATAACTCATCCGTAGGCTTCGATGGCTTTTGATTTACACAAATTTGATTCTACACAATTTTTAAATTAAAACTTCCCGTTTACCAAGAAGTGGTAGAGACAATTTTTTCTACATTTTTGTGACGATTCCAGCTTAATGTTGTGTGTTTTGATGTGAACTAAATATACAATAAATAGCTAAATTTTTATTTCAGCGTTTACAGATTTGAAGATTTCCACAACGGGCAGATGTCGGACCATGATGTGAGATGTCTCTTGTAATATATTACGCTAAGCCAGCTGGAGTATTGCGTAAAGGAAGTGGAAACACTAATGAACTGAAAAGAAGAAAGAAATTCCGCCTTGTCTGGTGCGTGTGATTGGGCGAAAAGAACAAAACAGAAAGAGTTTCAAAATCTACTTTTTGCCTTGCCCAATAGTGGTGTGTATGCAAAAATATATGATGAAAAATATTACACGGTTTAGCACGGAATCATTGGTTTTTAGTATTATTACTTAGAAATATATAAATTTAAACGTAAGCAGTTGCCAAAGAACGAAAGTTAAGGGCGGAGTTTGATCTTTGTTTTATATTTAAATTAACTGAGAAGAAGAATTTAATGCGTTTTAGTAGACTTAAATTTTAGTTTATTCATTTTAGTTAAGCCTCTTTGAAGAGTTTTGGCAATGATTTATCGTTTAAAAAAAAATTAAAATTGCTTATTGCTATAAATACACATATCAAAAATTTTTAAGTTACAAGGTAAGGCCTAAAATACACATACGCATGATTGTACATGTGTATGCACATGTGCATGTATGTATGTATGTATTTATGTATGTATGTATGTATGCATGTGTGCATATATATATATATATATATATATATATGTATATATATGTGTGTGTACTTGCACGTAAGCGTATTTATAAATGGGATTAAAATTAATACTTAATCTAATAATATTTATTATTTATTGTATATGTCTTATAAACAAAATATTTACTTTTGCATAAATTTTTCGTATTAAGATTTTTTGCAATCTTTAATAGAGTTCAAGTAAAAGAAATATTTTTAGTAAGCTATTGTCGATATTCATTAAAGTAAAAATGCTACAATGCATGTATAAACGGGTTATAAACAAATTACTGGAGCATAAATTTTGATTAAGTTTCTTTTGTTAAATGTTTAGTTCAACAAAAATAAGAAAAAAAGAGCAGAGCAGTTAAAATATTACAAATGCAAACTATTATTGGTGTTATGGTTATCTTTAAAGAACTTAATTTCAATTTGAAGGTTTGGGAGACATAGAGAACATCAATAAAGAAAAAAGTTAAGGGAAAATTTATTTAAAAAGTTAAACAATCACTGTTTTAATGATGAATTTGCTGGCAGCGTAGCTGATCTTTGTACATTAACAGCATATGGCTTATAATTGGAACGTGTTGATTGACTGTTCACACGACAAATAAAGAAGACAATTACACAATTATTATACAGCGTTATAAAAAGGAAGACCAAACAAAGAGCGACAATGTTTTATGTTTTAGCACCAACGCACAAATTTTTCATTGTTGTTTAGCGTTCATGATCAAGATGTCGGGATGAGTTATCACACGAGCACATACATACATTCAAGCCATTTAATATACGACATACACAAGAGGGTACAAAAATAAAACCGGAAGAAATATTTGGAAGAAAAGTACGTGTAAATAAAATGTATATAAAAATTTATTAAAAAAAGAAAACATTTACCAAAAAATATATGAATTTTGTTATAATTTTAATAATACACGAAAGCATGAAACAAGAAAATTTTATAAAAAGTTAAAAAGGTTTCGTGTTAATTGCAAAGAATATTTCTAACCCACTTTGAATAATTATTAAATGTTAGAACAAAAGTAGTTCAGTGAAACCCCGCGACATTTAAAACTATCAGGTAGCATTCAAAAACGCATTTGCTTGTAATTCTTGTTTTTTAATAATCATTTATATACTATATAAGTGAAAACCCCTTCTTCCCTTTTCGTAGTTATCCTAAAACAATACAAAAAACGCTAACCGGCACAGTGCGTACGCTGCTATTCTGCATCATTTGCTTGAATAACCTGCAAGCTCACAAAATAATTCAAATAATTTTATTTTTCCACAAGCGAATATCACCACTACTCTTCTCTAATTTTCAACATCGAAAGGTCGCTGAAGCAGTACGCAATATTTGCTATTGAAGTTGCTGATCAAGATTCACAAAAAAGCAGTACTAAACTCGACGACATCCCCTGCTTGGCCCGGTTGCTGAAATCAACTGCTGGAAGTGCCTGTATCCTGAGAACAACAACGATAACAAGAATGAAATCTGCTCGCACAGTAATTCAACATCCCGAAGATCTATTAAGATTGCCAATGCCATCGAAAAATATCACAGACAATTGAAATATCGACAGTTAGAAAAGCTTAATGCTGTGGGTGAAAGTAATAATTGAATGATAAAATGATTAAAATTCTGAAGACTTGTCAAAGAATTTGTCGTTTTTACCAATGGAATTTGTTTAAAACTTTAGACGCTAGGAAGAAAGCAAACAATGAATGATCGCGAAACCCGCTAACGTGGTCTCAATACCTACGTTGTAATTAGCCAAAAAGAAAAACTAAATTTACTGTGTTAATCAAACGGGATGATAGTTATCACCTCCACTTGATCCATAAAAATCATACCGTGTTTTGTAAATTGCGAATATGCCTTCTGACTGACTGGGGATTTTTCCAAATTAATTTCTAAGATTATCTTGCAAAATGCCCATGGGAGCTTTAGATCAATATCAATATTTGCTTTGAAAGTTAAAATCATTTGGTTGAGTAATTTTACATTGGAATGTTATTATGAAGTATGCTATATGGCTGTACTAGTGGTAGAAAGATTGTTATTATTATAGCAAGAACACTAAGTGTTGAATTTAAAGTCTTTTAAGTCTAACTGAGTTTTTAATTTAACAACAAGTTTTTAATAAACAACTTAAATAACTTAAAATAAAACGGTGAGACTTCATCAATTGTTTGAACTGGAATCGCGACTTTCACTGGTCAAGAGCATATATAGTTTGTACGCCCTCCGGTGTTTGTTGATACGCGTTACACCTAACTTGGCTTAGCTTATACTTCAATGTAGATATTAAAATTATTCTCTTTATTTTTTACAAATTACAAATGGACAAACTGATTTCACATAATAAACGTTTCTATTTTACGTTTAATAAATAATTTTTGTTGCAAATGTTCCTAAGGCCTTTTTTGAGAATTAATTTAATGAAAATTCTCCTTGTTAAAAAGTCATCGAAAGCTTTTCCAGAAATTTCTTCCGAAAATTGTACTTGAAAAATTTATTTTGAGAAAAGAAATTTATAAGTATGGTTTGTCGCGGAGCTGTGGAACAAACACTCTACCATGCAAAAACGAATATTATTTTCAAAACAAAATTTTCGGCGCACGGTTTCAAGTAAAGTATCCAAAATGAATTAAAAATTTTTTTTTAAGTAGAAATTTCTCACGTACGGTAGAGATAGATAGATAGATAGCGAGAGAGAGGGGGAGAAAGTACCGTGGCCTGATCGAATATCCGTCGACTTAATACAATTGATTGGTAACATGTGCCCAGATGTACTGTGTGATACGTACAACTTGTGCTTCAGACCTAGCACGTGGAAAAGACAGCTCCTCTCTCCTAGACAACGTAAGCACACTCCCAGAAAGATTCGTACTGACTCATCAGTTCCTAGCTCGCTTGGACACTTTGCAGGCGTTTTCGGGGAATGATTGAAGCACTATTGATCAAAAGCATTTTGAATTGATCACACAACAGCTAATAATGCAAGGAGTGTGGATGCCTAACAAACTGCTGCCTCCCGTCCACGAACCTCCTCATTCGCTCCACATTCAAGGGTTTTGTTTGCAGTCTAGTCTCAACTAGAAAACGAACTGGAGAACCAAGACGACTTTTCTAAACTCCTGTTTGGATTTATCAAACGACGATTTATCATGGATACTATTGAAGAAGTGGTCACGGCAGCACAAAATGGATAGAACGGATAGAAGTTGATAGTCACAGCAGCCAACTCAGTTCCAATTTGACATATCTTGGAGTGCAATTAGATACGAAATTAACATTTGCGGAAGATTTTAGGAGGGTTGCGGATAAGATATTCGCAACTGCAAACACTCTATGCAAAATGAAGCCAAGCAAACGATGTATTTCGCTGCAATTTGGGCGGAAAAAGTACTGCAAACGAAAAGTCTCCTACGAAAGTTTCAAACAGTTCAAAGGATGTGAACGTTAAGAATAATATCAGCCCGCCGCTTAATTTTAACGTCAGCGGCAGCAGTTTTAAGAAGAATGTTACCCATCGAGCTACTGTTAAAGGAGAAGTTATGTACTCAAAGCGGCAAAAAGGAAGGATCGACCGGCGGAAGAAATTACAGCGATGTCCCTGGCTTTAAGACACCTTCATGTTGACAGAATGGCAACAGCGATGGGAGAAACACTCGAAAGGAAGGTAGACCTATAGCCTCATCCCAAACGTAGAACAATGGATGGGGAAGAAACACGGGGAAATTAATTTCTTCCTAAATCAATGTTTTAGTGGTCACGGAAATATTTCAAGTTAATTGTAACGTTTCGACTTACGAGCAGATAACGTATGCAACCAATGCAAAAGCATAAAGGACGATGCGCAACACACAGTTTTCATCAGTACGTATTGCGCATATTTGAGAAACAGGCTTTTCAGAGAGCTAGAAATAGAAATTACGCCAGGTGACTTACTAGCGATTATGTTAACGGACACCGAAAGATGGAAGAAACGCACCGGTCTTATGCAAGACATGCTTTGTTATAAAGCTATACGAAGGCGACATCTGAACATCTAATTTCGAGGTAATGGCAAAGCCGTTCCGGGATGTCTTTGGCCCTAGCATAAGGACACTATATGGCATTCCGCTGCCACTACGCCCAAAAAGCAAAAAAAAAAAAAAGATAGAGAGAGAGAGAGAGAGAAAGAGAGAGGTAGACAGACAGAACATTTTAAAAGAAAAAATTGACACTGCAATCCCTTCAAATTTTTTTTCACACGAAAACTACCTGTAAGTAATCTCACCTTGGTGATATTTTACTACCATCATTATTGCTACTGTTATTTGAGGAGGAATTTGCCTTGTATCCGCATTTTTGAATACGTTTAGAGAGACGTGACACCCATAGATTCTGTTCGTCGGGTGTCGACGCCAATAGAAGCATCTCACGAGCACTATGAGGGTCATGGTGAAGTTTACATGGAGCCAAGGGATCATTATTATCCACATGTTCTTTATGGATTTTATTGCGGCATCTATTGAAATTAAAGTTTTCATTGCTTTAGTCTATTTTATAAACGAATGTAGGCTAAACTTACCTTTTGCACTCGTAGGCCGCTGGCGGTTTAAACATGTGCCATAATGGTTTAGGGCAAACTTCACAAGCCGTAGGCATATGATAGGTAATATGGACAAATTCATGACCTGAAATTTTGGTATAGACGCTAGACAAATTCATAGTTTTTTACTCTAAAGAGACAATACCTTTATGCAATATGGAACCGGGGCGTTCCTCAACACTTGCAGCTCTTAACACACTTATATCCAATTGGTTTTGTTCATCCGGTCGTCGGGCTTCACCTTCACCAGCATAAAGCAATTGGAAAATGCGCGGTATTTCTTTGGCATCAGCTCTTATAACATCACCCTGAGTCACTGAACGTACGTGAAATACTTTGCTGTAAGCAAATTTAATTAATTATAGAAATTTGTAAGAAACTTAAAAAAATCGTTTACTACAAACCTTAAATCTAATATTAGCACAGGATCACTAGTGTTTTGTTTATCAATTTCCGAATTATAGAAAATAATTTTGCGCGAAGAGACGACCACAAACTGGCGCTTCCAACCATGACGTCGTATATTCTGTTTATTGGGCACGCTTAGCCATCCCTCGAATACCGAATCCTGTATAAGGGAGAGCAGAGATGAGTTCTAAGCTCAAACAACAACAGTTGAATGGAGTTACGATAGTAAAGAATTTTTAAAAAAGATAAAAAGTTTTTTGTTTGGTTTAGATGAAATGAAATCGTGACGGTAGTAGATGGTGATGGATGTTCACGTTTTCATGGTGATGTTGAATGAAAGTAAAGAAATTTATGAAAATATATAAAAAATGAAAAAGAAAATGTATAAAATGTGTGGTGAAGCGAAAGGAGTAGACCTTTGGAACTTACTTGATTGTCTTCGGGATCATTGTCGGCCGAGGAGAGAGAGGCAGTTTCATTTAATTTCGATTGCAACTGCTCTATTTCAGTAGCTTTACAGTCAATTTCCATTTGCAATTTTTGCTTAACCTGCATAGAAGATTGTAGAACCTAGTGAGCTATTTACCTAAAATCTATGTTTGGAATCTTACGTGACTATCTTCGATGGCTTGACTTTGTAGGTCTTGGAACTTTGACAACAGTTGATTATATTTTTCACGCTCCTGTTGCATTTCTTGTTGCAATCGACGCATTTCTTTCTCTTTTTTGCGCAGCTCAGCTGATGAACGAGCTTTACCTTTTTGTTCTAGTAAATAAATAAAAAAAATAATAACAGTAGTCTGTTCCAACAGAAATATATCAAATTGTATACACTATATTTTATTTAATATTAACTACATATATTTTTAATGCAAAGAAACTTACTCTGCAAATCAGTATCTCGGCGATTCATGACCTCTGCCAATTTATTAACCGCCACTTGTTTTAACAGCATTTCATTCTTCCATTTCTCTTTTAATTTAACAATTTCCTCTTCTTTCGTGTTTCTTAATTGTGCCAATTCCTCCTGTAATTTCTTATGCTGTTGCATGGCGTCTTCGTACTCGTTGTTCTTTTGATTTAATGTTTTAACAAGATCGCTTTCAGCGTCTTTTGCAGTTGATAGCACAACTTCTTTTGCAGCCATTTCATTACGATGTTTGGCAATGAAATCTTTTAGTTCTAATTCCTTAATAGTTTTTTCCTTCTCCAAATCGGCTACCGTCTCTTCTGCTATTGACCGAGCGAGCGCTTCTGAGTCTGCACGAGCAACTGCCACCTGAACTTGATGTTTCAAGGAAACGCGTTCTTCTTTAAGGTCTTGGATCTCTCTACATCTTTCCTCTATTTCCTCGCGATGTTCATTGGCTTGTGCCTTATACAGACGGGAGAATATTTGTTCAGCTTCTAGTTGATCTTGTAATTCACGTTTCTGCAAAATCTCCTTGTTTAAAGCGTTTTTTATTTGCCCGATATCTTCCTCATATTTTCGTTTATTTTCCCTTAGTGCGGTTAATTCTTTTTGTAATTGGTTTTCCCGCGACTTCAAATGAGCCACTTCCGAAGTTTTCAGACTTAAATCGGAAAGCAGGGAATTCTTTTTAGTGTGTTCCTGATCCAGTTGCGATTGCAGAACCATAACTTTTTCTGCCTCCTGACGACACTCACCTTCAAGTTTTTGCAGCCTTTGTTGTATCTGACGATAGTCTACGGAAAGCATATTGAGTTGACGCTCTTTTTCCTGAGAATTTTGATCAGCTTTAATGCGGGCCGACTTCTCTTCATTGAGTTTAGTTTGCAAAGCTTTAACCTCTTGCAAATTCGCCTCTTCCCGACTAAGCATTCGTGATTTTTCAGTCTCCTGATGGGCTTTAACTTCTTGCTGGTATCTACCCTGAGCAGCTTTTAATTCAAAGTCTAAGCTGGCATTTGCCTTTTCCAGATCTGATATTTTTTCATTTAAAACACGATTATCTTCATAGGCTTTTTGCTCCCGACCAATGGCTCTTTCCAGGTCATTAGATAAATTTTGCAATTTATTTTCAGATTCCTTGTGCGACTCTTTTAATTGAGACCTCGAATTCTTCTCTTGGGCCAATTGTGCTTGCAGCTCAGCCACTTCATGTTGTAATGTTTCTTTTTGAGTTTGCAATCCCGATATCGTTGTCTGCAACTGCAATATTTTCGCCTCTAGTTCCTGCTTAGCTAAACCCCACTCAGCTATTTGCTTTTTAAGTTTCTGAGAATTTTCTGTTTCATTTTTGAAATTTTCTTCCATTTCTTTTAATTGTTTTTCAAGAGCAATAATTTTATCGTTATGATGTTGGTGGTTGTTCATTTCACGGGTACGTATTTTCTGCTCATTATCAAGATTCCTTTGAGTTTCGGCTAAAAGCACTTCAGTTTTCTTACGTAATTCAACTTCCTGCTCCATCTTTTGCAAAGCCGTTTTATATTTATGCTGAGTAATAGCCAAATCTTTTTCATACTCAGAGGCCATTAACTGTATACCTGCCTCTCGCTTGATAACCAGTTCTAATTGTTGTCTTAAAGCCTTATCTTGCTTTTCCAAGGTCTCGTTATGATCGCGTTCTCTTTCCAGCAAAGCTTCCAAACGTTTAATTTCGCTCGAATTCGACGGTCTATGACGGTGATTATGGTTTACTGAATTGGGTACATCTTCTTTAGCTTCAGCATCAACAGTGTCATTGCTTAATAGCTGATAATCACCAGTGTAGGTAAAGCCAATGAAAGGTAAATGGTTACCATCGAAGTTTTTGGGTGTTGGAAATACCTCCTCAGGGGTTTCGTCACGCTCAATATCCTCAAAATTACGAGTGTCATCGTCAGACGACAACTCCGGTACCACTGGTGGCACACTCTCTCGAATATTATCAAAATTCCAAGTATCATTGTGAAAAAAAGGATGGGCCTTTATCTCGTCAATACCTTGGCGACCCAGGCGTTGAGTGCGATCAGTAAGGAATGCTCTTATTAGACTCTTTGCATTTTCACTGAGTTCCACTTCAGCTGGAAAACTTAAGGAATTCTTATGATCCATGATCTTACCATAAGTGCCCACCAAAGAATCCGCATAAAACGGAGTATCGCCTACCAACATCTCGTATAAAAAAATGCCAACCGACCACCAATCACATTCGCGCCCATATTCATTATCTACTCCCTGGGATTGTAAGACCTCCGGACTTATATAGTCAGGAGTACCAACGGCATTATTAGATACTACTAAACCATTCGATCCCATACGCATACAAGTTCCAAAATCAGCGAGTTTCAAATGCCCATAACGATCCAACAACATGTTATCGGGTTTAACATCACGGTGCACGAAACCCATGTTATGTATTGTGTCCAAGGCCAGAACAACTTCCATAGCATAGAATATTGCCCATTTCTCGGGTATCTCATACATCGACATTAACGACACAACATCACCACCCGGCATATAATCCATAACCATATACAGAAATTTTTGATCTTGAAAGGCAAAATGCAATTGAACAATCCAATCAGAATTGGCATGAGCCATTATGTGACGCTCCTCCCAAAAAAATGCTGAATCAGGACGTTTCATCATTTCGAATTTCGAAAGGCGTTTCATGGCATATACCTGCCGCGAAGTTTTATGCCGAACCAATTGCACTTCACCAAAAGCACCAGCACCAATAATCTTAATAAAATGAAAATCATCGACATTCATGCGAAGTTGGCAGATTTGTTGTGCGAGCGATTTGTCTAGATAAAAAAGGGGAATTTTTGTTGGAATTTAGATAATTTCAAATAGCCGAAGAAATAGTCAAAATTTAAGCGATAATAACATACCAAATCTATATATAAATATGCATACAACTTACATTTTGTAGCATACGCTTCGATATTTTTTAGTCGTTTCAATGACTCATGATCACAATCGTTAACTAATGCTGTGACCGTGTCTAGCAGACAGTCTACATTGCATATACTGTACGGATTACGCATCTCCTGCTCTAATATTTGAGCCCTAAAAACAAACAAAGCGATTACTTAAATGTAAATATAAATAAAAAAATTAGTTAATAATAAACTACATGAACCTACTTCATGTACGACGTACAAAAAACTATATTACTTAGTTATATGAATGTATACGTATTAGCTCCTGGTGTTGGCATTACAATGTGTGCATAGCGATTTCATCAACGCATAAATCGATAAAGTAAAAAGTTCTATACACCTTAGGACGTATTCTGAATGCTCACTATCACCTGATGGGAAGACACAAAAATTACAAAGTATCTTTGTTTCTTATTTCTCATTTGACTAAACAGGACCCGTTTGCAAAGAAAATCTCTAGCCCATAATCATCCAAACCTCACTTTCCTACGTATATTTTACAACGCTACAGATAAATGAAACCAGTTAAGCTCCTCACCAGACACATCTTGAGTACCCACTGCCTCAAGAGTCATGGAACTTGTTGACAGTTGCAGTTTCGTTCAATAACCGATTTTGCCATCTTGCTTTAGGTGCACCGAATTTTAGCTCGGTAGTTGACGAAAACAACCTCTGATTCATTCAATTAAAGTGAAACTTGTATAACTTATTTTTTTCGGCCCAAGGATGCTGCTAAATGTTACTAGGTTTTGATAGTTGGCGCTGTAGACAAGTTTCTGTGTTATTAGATCGATTACAATGAAATTTATATACAATATTATATTTATTCTCGCTGTATGATTTTCATTCGTGAGCTGACTCGCTGCACTTCCTTTGACATAGTTTAAAAAAAAAATAATAATAATAAATTAATTTTTTTTATAAGTAAACTCTAAACATGAATATATTTACTACAATAAAGAAATGCTGCGAAGTGGACGGACAAATGTTGCTTCATGAAGTCGAAATGTTCGACAACACATACGAAACATACAAGCAAATAGATATAAAAAACAAATAAGAAAGCTACATTCGGCTGGAGTCGAATCCCGCATACCGAACACCATAAAAATCTTTGGCGCCCAATGCTTTTCCTTATTGTCATAAAAACGTGAATGCGATAAAACTGATCTTTCAAACTTCATTTCGCTAAAAGGTATCGTTAAGAAAAATCCACCACAATTAATTTAGCCTGTCGAATTGTACTCTGCAAGTGCTTTTATGTAATACTCATGTCAAAGGTATTGTAACGAAAAAATCAGTCCACTACGTCGTGACGCCCACCATAATTATTTAGATGCATTTTTAGGCAGATAATTTATCTTTATTTGAAGAATGTACAAAATAGTTTTAAGACAGGATGCGTCTTGTTTACCTTATAATTAATATGCATAAAACCTCAAAAAAGTGGGAAAAAAGAAACTTAATTATCTGCAACTCTGCGTGGGCATGGCAAATTTTTCCCATTTTAACAAGCGCAAAGTTCAGCCCTCTATCTCTTATAATTTGTGAGCAATGAGGAAGAACCTACAAATTTTCATTTTTGAAAAGCAGGGTTGTGTTCAGCTTACGTTTCGTTGCGGGCTTGTGCTTTGACTAATTCGGCCCATTTTAAATACTAACCGGCGTGCAAACAATTCCAACTTTTCTATCAAATTTAAAGTCGATATACTCATTTTTGCCACTTTTGAGAATGTCAAAAACACACACAGACGCACAGATGGACAGACATGAATTAATCAGTTCAGAATTTCACAGTGATCAAGAATATATATATACCTTATAGAGCCCCTGAAGCTTCTTTTGGGTGTTGCAAACATCCTGGCAAAATGAATAAAATTCATATCGTTTAGTGATGGGAATAATAATAGTCACATCGAAATGAATCGAAGAGATTGAGAGAGTACGATCGCGTGTAGGCCGAAATAACGAAGACAGCACACAAGAAAATAAGTCAATGGAATCAAGAAGCGCACATTTGCGTGCATATGATAATCGTCAAAAAAATGGATCACCAAGAGATAGACAACCTCGAGCGGACGCAGGTGGTAACACACAGCAAATGATACAGCGTGTATTAATTTTGTGCGCCCAGAAGAGCTTCAGATAGACCCACATTTTATTATATTGATCGAATCAGAATCAGGTTCTATGTTTCACCTACCACTTCCCATATAATGCCTTATTTTCAGAAGTCGCTATGAAAAAATATAATATTCAGAATTTCTTAACAACGACCGCGGATTAACACTATATCGGCATTGTATATTGGTATGAAAATTTTAAATTGGACAGTGTACTTTCGTGAACCTTTTGCGATGTAACCTTCCTTGCGGAAACTCAATTTTTAGACGGTTAAAAATATAATTTTCAATATTTGATAATGAAAATTGGTCCATAACAGTTAATTAACAAAAAAGTCAACTTTACCAAATTTGGACCATGTATGTCTATTTTTTTGATACCATTGCATAGTAGGATTCTCAGGAAATGCAAACCCTTATATACTAAAAGAGCCTAATTGTAAATGTTTTATGGTAAAAATTTGTTCGCTGTAGCAATTTGACATTGCGTGGACTCGATACAAGATTTCTTATGAATAGTAAGTCGTTCAGAAAAAGGTTTAATTTTTAATACTTTGTGGTGAGAATCGGTCCATAGTAACCGTTTAGCAAAAAAATTAACGGTAGATAATTTGAATCACACAGCTCGACTGTGTGACTCCACTGTAAACAGCGGCTATCGCGAAAGCAAGCCCTTATATGAAAATAATTAAATAAATAAAATATTAATGACGGAAACTCAAAAATAATAAAATTTGTAGAAAGTAAGTTAAGATTGCTCAAGTTGGATCATGCCTTGCGATGTTTTAGGCATCCTCCAATAAGCGGGCTGCCATGAAAAATTCGCCTTCGCATGAAAATAATATGTAATTTTTGTTGTAAAATTATCAAAACGAGTGAATGGCTGTACTAGGCCAAGTGGTGTAGGGTATCTAATAGTCGGCCATGCTACACTATAATGTTCCTACTTTTTTTTCCAAATGTCAAGTTTGCCACCAATGTTTACGAAGAACTTGTAAGTACGCTAGGAGAACTCAAATAGGCATTAGAAGTTCTTATAGACACAATGATTCAATTATTATAAATTAACTATTCTCCATATCAAAGAATATGTTATGGAAATTCAAAAAATATAAACATACATAACAATTATGAACGCATGTTGACTAATGGTTCTCCTGCGCAAAACCTTAGTTTTACAAAGAGCCGAAAGACCTGGTGGCTATGCGTATAGTATAAAGACAACTGCAGAACCTACAGCGAACTAAAAAATCAGCTCAACTTTATTCTTGTCTCACCTAAGCACCTTATTAGCAAATTTCGATATATATGTGAGCACAATATTTTGTGATGGTTCTGCATCATTGGTTCTAATCGGACGCCTACTGATCTAATGTACAACAGACGATTTTACAGAGATCTTACTGATTCCTTTCTTGCGAGTGGGTATTGTGATGTACGTTACCAATCACCTTCGAAAAATTAATTTTGAAAGCGTGCAGATAAAATCAAGAAATACACATACCGTAGACTTGCATACTTGGTTGGACCAAATGCCACTGTATCACAGATGTATAAGTATTAAGATTAATTTTTCCATTTAAAACCGAATGTACTGCTTGCTGTGATTAGAAGCGTTAATAAAAAGTATTCAGTAGAATTCCTCTAATATTTTATATATAGTTTTGACGAAGAATTGTATCTTTTTTGTAAAATTCGCATACTAACCAGCCAGAGTTTTAATAATGGGGGACGTTCGGTGAACCTTCTCAAACGAAATCTAATGGTGAGAATGCTAATTATTATGAGTCATTGGCGTTTATCCATTATGCTAGAAGTTTAACTGTATTGTTACAATCGTTTCTATACACACTGGAATTGCCTGCTGCAGAAGGTGGATCCAGCTAAAACTCTATTCCACTTTTGCAGGATATAATGTTCTTAAAAGCTTCTTCTAATTTGATATCAGAAACGATTTTATATGTTTTGCAAAGTCATTTCCACATTTACAGCATTACGTAAAAAAACTTTATGATAATTGTTTAAGTAAATATTTATGAAAAATTATCAAAAATATTTATTTACGGAAAATTTGCGTAAACATTAATTTATCAATGGACAAGCGACAACAATGCAAACAAACTAAAATTTAGCAAAAAAAAAAAATATATTTCTGCAATATTTTAAAGCACGATAAGTACTGTATAAAAATAAATATTAAATGTAAGTGTCGTAAGTGATAAAAGAAATAACAAAAAAATATTCTTCACTTGAATTGAATATTTTGTTACACACAATTTAACATATTTCGTTTTTTCTTTTTAACGAAAACACTACTTACAAGATGATATAAAACAATAAGAATGCTATTCTTTGGTAGCAACTAGTCTTTCTTAAGGTCGTATTTTTCCTTTAGCTATTGTCACTGTTGCACAAATTCAAGAATCTTTACAAATTGTACTAAATTTACCATCACGTCCATTCCCGGCGTATTAGTGAAATTTGAGATGTTTGTAATCACATAATTGATCGTATCGTGAAAAAATTGTAGTCTCTCTACAATATTTATAGAGTATTGTAATGCCAATAAAAGAAAATCAGCAAAGCAACAGATCAAAAGAGTGAAATAGTTGTATGCTAAAGTTGCCCATTATAAGCCACTTCCAAGAAATGGAGATTCCTAAAAACAGTTTACGGCGCACATACACCTACAACTACTTGTATATAAAATCCTAAGACGACTTGATTAACTTAAGAACGCACACCATTGTACGATATAGTTTTAAAGTGTGGAAGGCTAAGCAATAACAAGTCAAACAAAGCCTCACATTTCATACCAGCGAAGTCATTAAACAATTAACGTGCTACATAACGAACGAAAAAATGGTGTTATTGAAAGCAAAATTTGGTGAGGGCCGCATTTAAAGAAGCACTCTCTAATAGCTTTGTATATTCTAAAAAAGTGGACTGAAAACATATCACAAACTATGGAAGTAGCAAATTCTACCAAAAATGTTGCTGCGTT